CTTTCCCTCTATCTTTCACTCTTTCTCTTTCATCTCTCTGATGACCACATGTGTCCTATAGCAAGTTAAAAATAATAAGAAATAAAATTAAGTAAATGATTAAAAAAAAAAAAAAGAAATGTATGCTTAAGGTGACCACAGGCTGACCACAGCTCAAAGCCCCGGCCCAGTCAGCCTGAGACATGCCAGCCATGTAAGTGCCCTAGACCAAGAGCTGGAGGATTAGAGGAAGGGAGGGATCCACAGCAAAGTAAGACCACGTGCAGGGCGTGTTTCTCTCTCTCCTCTCTCACGTGCACATGCTCTATCATGAATTAAAACAGCAAAACAAAAAAAAGCAGCCCAGTGGCTTACCTCTCATTGGACCGTATCATGTAGTCAGTAAATTCATGGTCTCCCTTGATCACCTCCAGGGGGACCACGAGGCTGACGTCTGAGTCAGTGTTGCGCAGCTGGTTAAGTTTCATGTTCACTGAGAAGAGGTACTCCCGAACATCGTCTACGCCCACCTTCAGGCCCTTGCACACCACATACCTGGCAGGAGAAAACCTGTCACCCCACTGAGCAACGGCTTCCTCCTGATTCCTTTCTGCCATGCCCCTGAGCAATCACAGAGTTAAATAGCTTTCCTGTTCAACTTTAAGTCTATGCACACAAGAACAGTACAGACTCTGCGCTTCGGAAGTCCTCCTGACACTCTCCAGCTAGGTGAAGCTGTTTTCTACTCTATGGCAGTGTTCCCAACTGCCCTGTGCCAGACAGCCTGTATCACCGTCACCTAGGGGGTCTGTTAAGTCACAGACTCCATGAGTCACACTCTCCAAGGACTGTGATTTTAACAAGCCACCTGGCAATTCTGATTGGTTGTATTTTCGCTCACCTCAAGTATGCTGTGGGCACTGTGTCCTACCAAGATGCCAGCGATGCAGTCCCCTAGGTGCAGTCCCCGGCCCCTTCCCAGCCCTTTCCTCCACATGTCCCTATATTGGTCACTTCGTCCCAGGTCAAGCCAAGAATCTCCCACATAAATGTGGAGGATAAGGCTTGCATAGGAGGCAGAGGCTGATCTGGCATATCATTGAGCCAGTAAAATAAAATCTAAGAATCCTGACTGCTATCAGCTCTACTCATTTTTTTAAAGTCAAGGTTTTTAATGTAGCTTGACAGGTCATGCCAGAGAGATGCACTAAGATTTGCTATTCTGACACCTGGCCAAGCAGTCTGGCTAAAGAAAGGTCTCACCTCTCCGAGTTGGCAGGACGGCTGGTAATGGGCTTGAAGAGACACACTCGTTCAAAGCAACAGTATAGCAGGTAGATGAGCCCCACACTGAAGGGTGTGAACAGGTCGAAGGTTTTACAGATGAAGTGGCCTCCTGGATTTGAGAGAAAACACCACCAGCAGTCAGTGGGGTCTATGCCAGGAGGTGGGTGAGGTAGTTTCAGAAAGGAAATATAATAGAGTCAAATACTTGGATCCATTAAAAGTCAGAGACAATTTAAGGGGAAGAATCAGCTTTAGGCCTTTGGAGACTCAAAAGCCCTCCCTTCCCTAAGTTCCGCATTTACCCACCTATCACCCGAAGTACATAAACTTTGTTTTAGGTTAAGCTTCCCAGAAAACCCCTGTACATGCTCTTGCCCAGCAGGGTCTCTGGTGGGTCTGAGAGGAGAGGACAGCTGAGGAAGTGTCACCTGTCCGGACAATAGACAGTGCCATGAGGAACTGACACAGCAGCAGCTGCTTGCTGAGGATCTCCTGCAGGTTCTCCTGGCCCTCCACCGAGAAACCCTGCAACAAGAGCACAAGGAGCGGGTGGGGAAGAGAAATACTAAGGATCGCAAATAACATCCTACCTCATCTTCACTGCGAGTGCTTAAGGTGTCTTCACTGATGCCACCAGAATCTGGCAGGTAAAGATCGAGCTCAGCAATTTGAAATTACTCTGACTAGGTCACGTGGCTTGTTAAGGATGCAGCAAGCACTAGGACCCAGCCTGTTTACTGGAAAGTGCCATTTTCCTGCTCCATCATTCTTAAGGGATGGAACCAAGTCTGCTTTTCTAAGGAGGAGGTTCAGAAAAATTTTAAAGCCAGGTGGAGATTCAGGAAGAATAAAGCAGAACAGAGGCAAACTATTGATTAGTCACAGATGCACCAGATAGGAAACAGAATCCCCTGCTGAGCCCCAACAGAACCAGTATTGGGAATACACTTACTGGTTTGGCAATAGGAGAAGTCAGCACAACTCTGACAGCAACAACCCCCTTTTCCCATCTTAAGACCATGGAGCCTCTTTCCTCTGGCTGGCAGACTTCCTGGACAGAGTACTTGTGCAAAGAATGTGGGTGCTATTCCTAGCATGGTCTCCCTGCCCCTGAGATTCCAACAGAAAGCAGAAAGCCAAAAGCCAAGCTCACATAAAAGTAAAAGCCAGAGATTGGAAGAGAAAGAAAAGGGTAGTTGTTTAAGGAGTGTAGCTTCAGTTTTGCAAACTGAAAAAGTTCTGGAAATCTGTTTTAAGACAGTGTGAATATACTTAATACTACTGAAATGTACATTTAAAAATGGTTAGGATGATAAATGTTAAGTTATGTGTGTTTTGTTTGCAATTATGAAAAAAGGGAGGCTGGCCTCTGTTAAGCTGGCCCCAGCCAGGCCAGGTCTCCTTGAGTCAGTACTACAAAAGTAGTAACTAAACAACTCGGAATCAAAACAATTTGGCAATGCCTTCCAGACTTACAGCTACCCTTCATAATGCATGCCTGTCTATAGGGTAAATTAAAATAAAAAAAGCCCAAGTGAGGTCAGTCTATGACATGGTCATTGAGGTAACTGATGCTATGTGGCCAACCATGCAGTTTGAGTCTCAGACCCAGCAACTTGGGAGACATACGGGGTGCATGTGCATGCATGCTCAAAATCTTAACAGGAGGGAAAAATAGAGAAAGGACTGCAGCCCGACCGTGCTCCATGGAGGGTGCTTTCTCGCCCTTTCTCTCTCTCCCCAGAGAAAGCACATGCCCCCTGGCAAATTGAAAAAGCCCAAGTTGCCCTTCTACACTGCTGGAGAAGAAGACTGCCACACTGCAAGGGCTGCCTCAGGAGCACTATCAGACACCAGATCTGCCAGGCAGCCCCTCCTCGCAGCCAGCCCCAAGGCTGCATATCTGTGCACGGTGTGCTGGCGAGCCAGGGCCTCTCCAGATCCCATGCTGCCATCCTGCACACACAGAGGCTACTCAAAGAGCTTCAGAGGCTTTCCTCACTCTAGCCATGTGTCCCTGGCACAACTGCCACATTCTCTGACCTTCTTCTAGAGTAAGTGGTGGTTCACTCCAAAAAGGACTGCCTGCTGTGTCAGATTATGGGATGAAAATTTCTGCTGATAAAGCTGCAGAGGCTCCTTTCTCGGCCTCAGGCAGCTGCTCATAGGCAAGGCCCCTTACATACTTTAGCCCAGCCACTGACAAAGCCACCTGTGGATCCCGAGTTGCTGCCTTTGGTCACGTGGCCATCTGTCAGCCTATGAGAGGCTTAGAAGTGGCCAGCACAGGTAGCCTTCACATGAGTAACTCCAAGGTCCCATTCAATTTTGCCTACTTGATTTTAGCCATGGTCCTCCTCTCACCACATCTCACAGCAATGAGGCCACACTGGCAAAGTGAGCTGAGGGGTTCCACCTTACTCTAAGCAAAAGCATCCACAACATCATAGTCTTTACAAAATTACCACAGAAAATACGTAGAGAGAGAATATAAACATACACCCCTACCATCTGAACAGTGAGCTTCCATCTTTAGGGGCAGCTAAAATAATCTTTGAACCTCTAAAATAAGAAATCCCTAAAGCATCGCCCTAAGGACAGAAGGTCACCTACCCCGTCAGCCATCAGAAAGTGGACACCCTTGCGATCTGTGTTATCCAGGACAAAATTCCGAAAAGCAGTGATGTTCTCTGGGCGGGTGATATCGCCGTCTCCATCAATCCCACCCTCACCTGGCAGGACATAAGATTCACAATAACTTCATCGGCTCTCTACAGCCCAGGAGCTGGGACACAAGTTCTCTGCACCAGTGAACACAGTGACCACGTGAGTCTCAAGACCCCAGGCCTACCCTACGACGCTGGGAAGGATCAAGAACAGGGTCCTGCTGTAATGAACCACTGTCCAGAAGTTGGAGAGCTGAAACTCATCAACCAAAACAAAGGGCCTTTACTCTTCAAGACCCAAGATGTGTTTAAAGCACCTTAATGTAAGAATGAATATAAATGTTTTAATAAAGAAGGCTATGAAAAGACAGGATTTGCTGCCAAATCCCAGCAGTAAAGATAGAGCACGGGCACTGCCATGGGGCTGCTGAGTTGTCTGCTACGCAGTGTATCCACATCTGGTGCGCAGGGCTGCAGATGGACAAGGGGTCTGTATCTGTTAATAACCCTCCCAGTTCTTAGCCAGAAATCGGGCAGTTTAATTATCTCCTGCCACCACAAGGATGCTCCTGAAAGTTGGAATTCATACGGCTTTGATGGCAGTTTAACTTGTATGCTGTAGGCCCAGGATGAAAAGGGACAGCCTGGAGGGAATCAAGACCCTGATAACATACAAGGACTGTGAAGCCCAGGCTAAGAGACCTAGAAAAGCAAACATGGCATGTGGATAACACCTGCCTCCAACCTGAAGTCCTCGCAGAGGGGCTGTCCCTCATACCTCCTAGTACCCGCCTCAGTGTCCCTACCATAGTAGGGTTCGAAGAGTTCACTGGAGGCCGAGTAGAAGTCCTCCAACTTGAAGTCATTTGGGCCCTTCAGAGTCATTCCAAAGCCCTTTGCGTGCCACTTCTTCCTCCACAGCACGTACTCTGAGAAGCCACCTGGGCCTGCACAGACATCAGCAAAGTACAGAAGCTCAGCCTCACGGTTCTTCACCAGCGGCTTCTGCAAAGGCAAACAGAGAATAGGGAAGGGAAAAAAGATGATTTAATGATAACCAGAAAGGAAAACGCAAGTGAGGCAGGAGAAAGCGAGAAAATGGCAGTGGGTAAGGGGGTCAGAGCATTCGGCCACGTGGCTAGACAGAAAAACTGATCAGTGAGTAGGCAGGTGGCATTGTGTTTAAGGCGCTGGACTCCAACATGGCCGACCGCAGTTCGAGTCCTGGACCTGATGGCTTG